TCGTTGTATTTAAACAACGGCAAATGGCAAAAAGGCCGGGCATTTTGAAAAATAGTAAGTTTCTATATGAAAAATTAGTAATTATTTATTTGCAAAATACCTTCAATGTTAATCATCGAGGTGAGTGATACAACATCATATTCATATCCCAAGTGAATTAATTTTAACAAAAGTCAGCAAGACACTGCGCACAAAACTCGATCCATTATCATCTCTACACACCGATATCTAAACCAAAATAAAACGAACATTTATATCACAGTTATTTGTATGCTATATCCAGTGAAGACTACACGGGTGATTTTTTACCGTTGATTTACACATACACCAATGTGTGTATGTGTGTGTTTATATATATATAAATGGTAAAGATTTACCCAATGTATTTCACCCGGCATAACATAGAATATGCACATTTATCACTGCTCTTTTTCTTTTATTAATCAATCCATTTGATAAATTGAAAGTAACTATTGATTCATGCATGGTCCAAATCATTAACTCAAGTAATAATCTTAGACCAAATGCTAAATGTATCATAAGATGGTAATGCCAAAAAGTGCGAGTGCATCATTTATTATAATTCAAACTTTTAAAACGAGTTCACCAGAAAAAAACTATTCAACTAACAGTACAAGTTCATTCCATCAAATAGCAAATGGAACTCAACATCCACTTCAGGAAGGAATTTTTCGTAGTGTACGTACATACAACCAAGAATTGCATCGACTACAACCAATATACAAAGTCAGTCTCCGGTTGTCTTGTCTGTCAACAATTCCGAAACCCTAAATAAATCGATATTATACACTTCAAGAAAACGACAAAATTCCAACAAAAAAAAGAAGAAAAAAAAAACAATTGATCATCATCGGGTACTAAGTACTACACGGGCACAACTTCAGGTAGTACAACAGCTTCTTCGGCGGCTTCATCTTGAAATCCTTTCTTGTATCTGTCATAATTAGTCATTTCAGATGACTGGAAAGGTCGTGGACCGAGTACCTGTACTAAGTCCTCTTGATGAAGAGTTTCCTTTTCAAGCAACAACTCGGCAATTTGAGCCACTTGCTCTTTGTGTTCCTCTATCAATTCCACTGTCCGTTTATACGCCTTTGCAGCCCATTCACGCACTTCAGTGTCGATTATAGCAGCTGTTTTGCTGCTGTATGGTTTCATCATCTCGTATCCATCTTCCCTCTGAGGGAAGGAGAGAAGTCCCACTTTTTCACTAAAACCGTACACCGCCACTTGAGCGTACGTCATTTTCGTCACTTTCTCCAAATCATTCTGCGCTCCAGTTGATATTTTTCCCAACAATACCTAATCAAAATAAATTACAACATCAAATAATTTATGTGAAGTTGACCTAATGTGCTTAACAATGTCGCATAACATTTCTGTTTCTTTGGTATCCTAAATCTTATTTGATTTGAAATACGTAAACCTCTATAAATTAATAGAGTTGGCAGTTGGGACTAGTAAAATTCTATTAATTTAGCGGAATATTAAATTATCGAATTAATAGTCAGCGAGTTGGGACCAGGAGAAATGAAATTTAAGCGAGGTTCTAGTGTACCTGTTCGGCGGCACGGCCACCGAGAGTCATGCAGGTCATATCAAAGAGCTGCTCTTTAGTCATGAGAAGGTTTTCGCTGGGAACGTATTGCGCAAAGCCAAGAGCAGCAGTACCACGAGGTACGATAGTTACCTTCAACAACGGATCTGCATGTTCTAATAACCACCCAACTACAGCATGGCCTGACTCATGGTATGCTACAGTTCTTCGTTCCAGTTTACTTATAACCTGTTTGTAAAACATCAACGAAATGAAATATTATAACATTGAAATAATTAAGGATGTTTCAATTCCTAAGAAATATCACGTGCACATGAACATCTAATTACATAAGAAAGATTCAGTGCAACAAATTAAGGATGCCTTTTGTTTTTAGCATGAAAAATTGTGTCTGCAGAGAAAAAAAAAAAGGAAAAAAAAATACAAGTAGCTGGTTAGTACGAGACATAGTCATGAGTTGAGTAGAAACTGCAGTGGCAATGGACACAACAGCCACTTCGACAACTGATGTGCATAGGTACTTAAGGGCATATTTCACATCTACCTATAAGGACTAGTCCCGTTACAAGACAAATGAAAATGACTAGCTATATACAATGTAATATATGTTCGAACTGCATGTCGTGACAAATAGCTGATATAGATAGTGAAAAGATAAACAAACAAAGGAAACTTACGTTTGCTGATAGTTAGTAGATTAAGAGACTATACAACATATATATGATTGTGATTAAAACTGATTTGTTTTATACATAACATAGTATTCCAGATAGGAGAAAAAGAAACGGGGGTGCTGTTGGAAAAATCTTGCATTTATCCATGCAATGATTGGACAGATCGATCATCCAAGAAAATCTTGTCGTTTTATTCTTCAAAGGTAGGAAATTATCGACTCACTATTAAACTAAAAGTATAAAAATAAGTACCATAAAAAACCTTAAAAGACTGCTTCCACGACAAAATGGAATTATATGACAATCAGAAACCTACTTAAGTTGGTAAGATGACTAACCCTAGACAGCCAAGGAATCTAAGCAGAGCACAAATAATTGCAGCAATATCTATTTGCGAGGAATGGTGCAAATCTTCAGTTTAGCAAAATAAACCAGCACTTAAATCCTTATATGAATATCAAATCTATAGTAACTCCGTAAAGTCTGTAAAGACCTATGTCAGCAGGTGTTGACCTTCTTTAATCTGAAGCAGTTAGAGAAATCTGGTCAACTGAAACCTCGCAAACTGGGGAGACACATACAATAAATCTTTTATATCTTCTATGAAGATGACATCCTCCTTTTCTCTAATAGAAGCAAATGAACAATAAAACAGCCAATGGGGCTATACAAGACAATATCAGAGGGCGACCGATAATTCAGGTGCTCACATTTTACTATTATCGGACAAGCACCAGCTAAGACTTCAAAACTGGAATTCTATTAATTATTCAATCACATGAATAAAAAGGCCAGGCTTTTTACTAATACAACTAATTGATCGAGAAGTTCTTGAAATTTCAGGAGAGCGAGAATCTAATTGTTCAAAGTTTAATTGAGCCAACATTATTGGGAGGTAAATTATGCCAAATCATTGTTGGCAGTATTAATTATTATGCAGATGACAATATAATTTTTTATTCATAAAATATTCAGGGCAACTACGAATAAATAGATACTTATATATATGTACGTGTTTATGTTTTTTCATATATTTTTTATCTTCGCATTAGAATTTTTAATACATTATCAATAGTTTTCAAGAACTCCCCATTTCTAAACATAATTACCTTCCTTTACTTCAATTATACACTGAGTTAATTCCACTAAAGCAAAGTAAATCTGAAATTTACATTTTGATTAACAATACATATAGGACTAGTGAGGCGTTACTTTCTATATAATACTTTAAGAAAGTTCAACATAGTTAAAGTTGTTTGTTCTATATAACTAGTACGACAATCCGCATATAACGAACACTCAATGCAACTATTGTGTTACATATAGTTCAGTTTCATTCATCAGATATGTTCAAGCACTGCAGAAGTTAGTAGCAATAACAACAAACCATACACACACGTCATTAAGTGAACGATTCAAGAAAGTCTTACCTTATTTTTCTTCTCAAGACCACCAATTATCCTGTCAATAGCCGAATCAAAGTGCTCCATTTTCACCATAATTTCGCCACCCCTTGCAGCAATTAAAGCAGCTTCATTGCAAACATTCGCAATATCCGCACCAGCAAATCCAGGAGTGAGGGCAGCAAGTCTCTGAGAGAAATACACAGGCTCGTGTTCAAGTGTGATCTTCTTCAGATAGACCTGAAATATTTGCTCACGGCCTTTAATATCAGGTACATCTATACTAATTTGCCGGTCAAATCGACCAGGCCTAAGCAAGGCTTTGTCTAAAATATCGGGTCTATTAGTTCCAGCAAGAACAACGACACCAGCAGTAGTTGCGAATCCATCCATTTCCACAAGCAACTGATTAAGAGTGCTCTCGCGCTCGTCATTCGAACCAGAAAGACCACCACGCCCTCTTGCTCGACCAATTGCATCGATTTCATCGATGAATACAATGCTAGGTGCACATTGCCTTGCCTCTTGGAACAAACTTCTAACCCTTGAAGCACCCACACCAACAAACATCTCCATGAAATCGGAACCAGATATGGTTAGAAAAGGCACACCAGATTCACCCGCAGTTGCTTTTGCTAGAAGTGTTTTACCAGTCCCGGGGGGGCCAACTAATAGAGCCCCTTTGGGGATTTTGGCCCCCAACAGCTCATACTTCTTAGGGTTCTTTAGGAAATGAACAAACTCCATTATCTCCTGCTTTGCTTCATCACAGCCGGCAACATCTTTGAAATAAACCTGGAAATGAAAAAGAAAAAAAAAAAAAGAAACGAATCAGCTATTTATGAACAAGCTAGCATTTCAACCTTATTTATATAACACTAAGTTGATAAGCTCTTACGTCAGATAAGTTGTTTTAAGACCTCGTAAGCTGTTAGGTCTTATTTTTAGAATTAATTTTTAAAGTGTTTGGACAATGAGCTTATAAGTTATTTTTACTCATTTATAAGATCTTAAATAAAAAAGTTAGGTATAGCTACTTTTTAAAAAAGATCTTCAAAGTTCTCAGCAGCCTATTTTTTTGAATTTTTATGATCTTTTTAAAAAAAAATTACCAAACAGTTTGAAAGAACTTATAAGCTCTTTTAACAGCTTATAAGTTTAGCAAAACACCCTCTAATAAGGACAAACCTTCTTCGCATTCTTATCCATCTTTGTAATGGGAGCTTTTCCAATGTTGAATATTCCGCGGGCCCCATTTCCACCAGGACCTCCAACACCAAGTCCGCCTTGCATTTTCCGACCGGCGAAGAAAAGTGTTCCCAACAACAAAAGTGTCGGAGCGAATCTCATTAACTCTTGAAACCAAGCCATTTCAGAAACGTAAGTAACCGGCACAAAATCATGTGTATCTATCCCCAATGCTTCTTGGGCTTCTTCCAGCTTATCTTCAAAAGATTCGACACTTCCAATATTAAAATAGTATTTATACTGACTGTCTTTTGCTCTTTCATGGGTGCCGCTAACTGGTGTTTCGAATTCAGATTCTGCGGTTTTGCCATGGCTTTGATTCTTCGGTGAGCTTCTCATGTATATTTTAGCGACGGATTTATTGGTAACAACTATATGGTCTACTAAACCTGGCTCGAGAAGCTTGTTTTTGAATTCTTGAAAACTAATCTGCAAAGCCATAGTCAAATATGAATGACAAAATCAATCAAGTGAAGACAAAGGCAAAATGACACTGCAACAAGCTAAAGGAGGAAGAAGTTTATATCATACTAACACAAACAGTAAGCAATATGAGAAGTGAAGAAGGAACATATAGAGTGAGTTCAATCAGTTCAATTAAATGCATACTGTACTACAGTGTATACTATAAACCAAAATGTTTCACTGCAAATCAAAATGTTTATCATTAATAATAACATGTGCATTAGTTAGTTCACTGTCTCTGAATTGATTCTCTTTTTTTTTTGTCTTTTTTTTTTAATCTGGAAGAACCGAAGAAGCTAAAATGCCTCACATGGATTTTTTAAAAATTGATGGCTACCACTGGAACTATTCTTCACTATCTGTGGGGATTTGTTTGCAACAAAATTTCCAAGAACAAGTTTGGAAGAAATAATGGCATTTTCGACGAAGATTGGTCTTTATAGCAAATAAGAAATAGTTCGTCTGTTTCTGAATAAAATGTTTGTCGGTGAAGAAAAAAAGAATAAAAAGGGGGTAAAATGATGGAGAAGAGCTCGAACAATGGCCGAAGAGTATATTTGGTTGGAAATAAAAACACACTAATAATGCCAAATATACTATTTTAACATCTGATGTTCCAAATATTACACAATCATATCCACACCTGAATAAATTAGTCAATATTTTCTATCTATCCCAAGTATAAAAGCAAAAGATTCGTAAGGATTTTCCTTATGTGGTTCGACAAAGTCTATCAGTATGCCTTGAGGTACACTGCCAATTTTATTCGAAAGTTTTCTTCTGAAAAAAGCTATTCATACTTGAGATCTCAATGTACATCAACAACATAACCAAATAGATTCATTCTGAACTTTTTAACTTCTATCTTTGAATAAAGCTAAGAGATATGAAAACCATTTTAAATGAGGTACAAAGTTACATGATTATGAGTCTTTCAATCTCCCAAAGCTCCCGATTTTGCATAATGAAAATTAAGGCAAAATAAAGCAATGCCCAATATAAATAAAACATTAACTTGATTTCGTCTCAAGTATCCACATATCAAACAAAGAAACAGAAACAACAACAGGACACATAACAGAAAATGCAGCCAAGAAGATTAGAAAACTGTAAGGTACTTTTATAAGGATTGAGAAAGCAATTATACGCTCACAGTTTAATTGAGTTAAGTGATTCTTTACTTGAAAGTTTAACAAAAACTCGAGTACTTAAAACATTTTCAGCTACCTGTTCCCCTTCTCGGGGCGTCGATGAAAGTGCTGAAATGAACAACCCAATCACCAGTAAAGAGGTGACTATATTTTGCAGATTCTTGGAAAAAAGGTCTCGGAAATAGCCCTGACCATCTGTATTTCCTTCCTCTGAGATACAGCAAATCAAATCAGAAAACATTATTAAAGGACCTTTCTCTATGACCTTATAACATACCCTATTGAAAAAAATTCTGATAACAAGGTTGTGCAAAGGTAATATAATTTAACCTCTAAAAAAAAGCAAAAAAAAAATGTAATCTTTAATAAGTAATAACACCTTGTAGCAATTCCGCGATATTATTCACATACTTGTGGACCTCAAATTAAAGCTATAAATGGTCAAATGGAACCCCATAAACATTTACAAACCAACTTATGATTTTCTGTTCATTACAAAGTACAATCCTCATGATATACTATTTGGACGGACCTCAAAGCGGCGCTGTACGGACACTGATTTTAAGAAAAATATAAATAAATAAATAAAATCAATACTACGAAATGTGTACAGTAGGTCGGTATGATGCTTATAAATTTAGTTTCTTTCGTTTCAAATTACTACCGGGTTACTAATGGAAGTTTACGACCATAACTATAAATTAGGGGGGTTTCAGCATTACAATAAATATAATAATATATACACAAGATTAAGCAAGTGATAGCAATTAGCAAACAAACCTTTGGACCCGGTTTTCTGCTCATTCTGCTCTGGAACTCCCTTGTTCTCTTTCGGTGAGAAATTTTCATAATCTGCCAACAAAGGGAACAACGAAAACATATTAAAAATCAAACTCCATCAAAAATTAAATTAAAAAAAAAAAAAAAAAAACTTACTCTTCTTCTTTGGCGCTTCACTGGAGAAAAATCTACTAATTCTGGGATACGCAGTAAAATCTGAAAAGGAATTCCGAGGAAGCGGCGATCCTTTACTAGCTCCAACTGTGGCTATATAACCCCTCAGAAACTGTATTTTTCCGTCGAATTGATTTATACTTTCATCCAATCGATTAATTGCGTTTAAACCTCCAAAATTAGGTTTGTTCCATAAGTAGGGTATCCTGCCGGCTTTACTAGCCCTATCAATAATATTCTGCAAAATTGATAATTTTTATTTTACAAAAACTAAATTAAATCTGCAGCAGTATTATACATACATACATACATACATACATACATACACATATATACATCCATGGAATTTTACAGAAGACGAGGCTTACCCTGGAACGCGTTAAGGAGGTGCCGATTCTGGAAAAACCCATTCTTTAATTTCAATTTATAAATTGTATCGCGCAGAGATGAACGCTCGATTGCTGAAGATTTATTGAAATGATGAAGGAATGAAGGGTACTTTAAATTTGGGGGTGGTGGCAATTTGTAGGCTTTTTGATTTTCGTTGAACGAAAATTTGTTTGTGTAAAGAGAAATCGGAGAATAGGGATGAAGTCGTTGTTGGTTTATAAAACGGTAAACAGCCCTTTACTTGGAAAGGAAGACATGAATGAACCGGGTCGGGTCACTCTTAAAAATTGGTTCCTATTCGCCAAGGGTTTTGCACTAGACACGCGGTTCGGGCCGGTTCGCAGTTCACTTTTTCCGGAACCGGAACCGGCCCGTACTACACACGGTTCGGCAGGCCAGGCCAGCCCGCCAGTTCACTCCGGTTCCGGGCCGGCCCGAAATTTATATTTTTAAATGTATTTTTTTTTTAAATACTTGATGGATACATAAATTAAAAGGATTACTTTTAAATAGGAATAAATTAAATGGGGTGTGAGGGTATTTATCGGAAAAAGTGTGTGTGTGTGTGGGGGGGGAGGGGGAGGGGGATTCAAAAAAGAACTTAATTTTCAGCTTTTTTTTTTTTTAATTTTTTTCATTTTATTTTAAAGTTTGGGTGAACTGCCGGGTCGGGCAGGCGGTTCACGGTTCACCTATTTCTAGACACGGGTGTCCGAGAGAACGGGCCGGTTCACGGTTCCGGGACGGTCAACGGGCCGGTTCCGGCCCGAAACTGGCCCATGGTCGTGTCTACTTTACACTAGTTCCGAGTATGGGTGGGTTCGGTAGGGCAACACCGAACCTTTCAATTTCTACCATTTCTAAAAGGCTTAATTCCACTTTGCATCCTTAAAATGTTGCCTTTTGGTACTTTGCACCCTTGAAAAAATTATAGCACTTTGCACACTTAAAACATGCATAATGCATCACGAATGAATTTTTAAAGCTAATGAAGGTAATTAAATATTTTTTATGGTATTTTTTGTGGTGTTTTTTAAAATGTCAAATGTCAAATGTCAAATCAATTATTTTTTATTCAACAATCATTTCTAAATTGCAAGGTGCAAAAAGAAAAATACATTTCATCAACATATTAAGTTATTATTTTTTTCACAAAAAAATTATCTTACAAAAACTAGAAAAATAAAAAAAAAAAGTCTGCGGCTGTATGCAATACTAAAACCACTTGTGCAAGAGCAAATTGAAAAAAAAATTCCAAAAGATTCTATTTTATTAAGATGAAATGACCAATATACCCATAAATTAAATTGGTTTTTTTTTTCTCATGCAAGACCAAATACAAATAATGAGGGAAAAAAAAACAAAAAAAAGATACATATAGTATTTATAGTATTTATACATTGAAAAATTTAATTTGGTATTGCACAAATAATTTTAGTCTTACATATAGCCGCAGCCTAAAAAATATCATTTAGCTGTTTAAGTACCAAATTATTTGAAAATTATATTTTCTTTCAAAATATTTCTACCAAAATATTTTCACTAATTACAATATAAAAATTCATTAATCGAATAATTTAGCGGCTCTTTTTTAAGAATTTTTTGTTGAAAGCCCAAAACCTCACGGCGTTCTCCCTCATCGACGGCCGGAGCTTCGCCGCCTAACCAATTCGTTGAACGACTTCTCTCCTCACAATCTCCATCTTCCGTACCCACAATCATTTATTTTTATTTACAAAAAAAAAAAAAAAAATGAAGGCTCGTCATGAATCCCTCGGTCGAAGAACGGTTCTGATCTCTCCCTATAATTTCAATTGGGGCTAAATTAGTTGTATTACACTAATAATCCGACTAACTTATGCTGGTTTTGATCTGTAATTTATGCAAACAGTTGGAAGATATTCGACAGAAGCGAGCGGCTGAAAGATTGAGCAAAACCGTATCTGGACCAGATCTCGGCAAAGATCCCATTGGTATTAAAATATTTTTTCTCTTCTTCGTTATGTTCCTAATTAAATTCCTTTTTTTTTTTGTTTAATTTTTTTCCTTTTCGTTTTTGTGGAGATGTTGTTGCCCTAGATGGTTTGGGGATTAAGAAATCCGAGAGCACAAATCGACTGTCGGAGGTACCGAATTATGCGTTTTTTACATGTGCAAATTGGTGGCAAATTAGGTGTTTGCTTTATTTGTTTCTGTGAGAAGAGGTGGATTGTATTTGATTGCTATTTTTATAGCATTATGCAGAATGATATCAGTGGGTTAGTATTACAGCTGAAAGACATACACCAACGAAATGTAGAGCTCGAGGATGCAAACGCGGAATTGACCTCACTGGTACCGTTTTAACGAGAGCTATGTTAGATCATTTTTAGTACAATACTCTAATGTAGTGAAGTATATTTTTTCGATTTCCGTTGATCAGCTTAAGAAGAAAGAAGTTGAAGATGATATGCTGCAGAAGCGACTCAGTGATCTGGTAACTACCGTGCCTTGAATTAACGTATATCTTTGGCTTTATTTTAATATGTTTTAAGCATTTGTGAATGTTTTGCACACAAAAAAGATGCGATCAGTGTGCATGCGTCAATGAACTATGGTAATTGTGATTAGGGCATAAATCCCGTTCAGCATCATTTGTAGACACAACGGGCCAAGATGAAAATATGTCTATGTTTCAGTTAATTTTATGGAAATGTTTTCACCCCCCACAAAATGAAACCATCATCTGAAAGCCCTTTCAGGAGCTCTTGCTCAAAATATTTTTGAAAAGCCATAATCATGACCACACACACACACACACACACACACATACTTGTATCTTTGCATAATAACATTTGTTATTTATCTTATTATATGTTTAATCACTATATCACATATTCAATCAATCAATATATATATAATTGAATTCATTACCTTATCATAAATATTTTCTATTTGTTATGTTAATATCATAACATTATATGGTAATAAATGTGTAACCACGAACTAGACAATGTTATATGATATTTTGACACAAAAATATATCCTCCCAGGTACTTAATCATGAGGACTTATCCATAGTTTCCGTATGAATCATTAAGACATTAACAGAACAAAGTCAAACACATGTTCTTGTCCGGTTATTCTCTTTTAGAAGGGTCAAAGACGTATTTGTCCGAAACATTATCCCACACTCTAAATGATGTGTGCCCAAGCTAGGATTTTCATACGTATTGATTTTTTCGTTTAATAAGGATATAATTGGATATTTGAGTACTTGGTCTCACATGTAGCCGAATTTGAAGGAATTTGGTGTAGAAAGTCAAGTTTAAATATCTTAAATAGTTTTATATGTGGTTTCATTTTTCTGCTTCTTGAAGTCTTTCAACCTTAAACTTGTTTGATTAAGGTGAAAGCAAGTTTCTGCTACCAATTTTCCCTTCAACCTTCACTTAGTTTGTTTCAATTTTCACTGCTAATTTCATCACCCACACCGAGTTAATTTTCTATAGATTGTACCATTGTGTTAGTGTGAATCAAGAATTGAACAATTTGACTCAGACCGAAACATTGCCATGCACAACCTCTAAAATATTTGAGAAAGATAAGAAAAGGTAGGATCATCAAGAATGTTTTAAATATTTAAACTATTAATATCTTAAAATTTGTTGTTTGTTTGTGCCTTCATCATTTATGGACTTGAGGGCTGAAGCTTTCTTGTTAGTTTGACCTGGCAGAATATAAACGTTGATTGCATGTGAAGTTTGGTTTAAACTAGAAGGGTAGATTACAAAAATACTTCAGGTTTGGCCTTATACCAGAAAATGAAGCTAAGCTTGTAAATAATAAATATCCTGACATTTATCTATATTTTACAAATTGGATTACTGAGGGATGTTTATAAAACAAAAAATAAACTTTATGAGAGTATTTTAATTTCTCAACTAAGTGTTTGTAAAAGTTTGTTGGGTTTTTCCATAATTAAACCATACTTCAAAGGTAATCCATAGATAGTTTATGTATGTATGAGATACTGATTTTTACTTTACATTGTAGAAGATGCAAATTATAGATTCGCAACCTGACTATGTAAGTCACATTCTGGCATCTTGTAATCAATCAACACTGTTTCTACCGCTTGCTATTTTCAGGAGCAGAACACAGTCCCATCATTAAGAAAAGCTCTCAAGGATGTTGCAATGGAAAAGGATGCTGCAGTTGTTGCACGGGTACTAACTCCAGCCATTACTCGATTTTCTATTTTTTTTTCAATTCAGCCCGTACTCTATTTGCTAACCATAGATTCCCTGACTCCCATCTTCTATTTTCCTATAAACCTTTACTTTTGCATAGGAGGATCTTTCTGCGCAAATTCGTACGCTAAAAAAACGCATGAAAGAAGCTGAAGAAGAACAATATAGAGTAAGACGGCTTATCAAATGATTAATGAACCATTGTTCGCATCTTTGGACCATAAACTCTGATATGTTTCTGATCCTCTTGCATTAGGCTGAAGAGGATGCAGCTGCGTTAAGAGCAGAATTGAATTCTTTGCATCAGCAAGCAATGAGCAATACTCCAGCTGCCATCAATGCAACAGGGTATTCAGTTGATCAGATGCAAGCCATGGAAAAGGAATTATCCAATTTGAGGTCCAAGCTTCAGGTTAGATTTTCTGGTACATTATTTGCACCAATTCTTGGTTTTATCGTTATTATGATTGTATAAGACATTTGAAATTGGCAATTTACAGCAAGAATCCATATTGAGGCAGCAAGAGCATCAACAATTAGCAGAGGAGCAGGCACGTAACTCTGACCTTATTATTCAGAAACAAGAGTTAGAAGAAAAACTTGCATCTGCCTCAGAAGCAGCTCTAGGTATCACCAATTTCTTTTCACGTTTTGTAAAATGAAGTTTGCTGCTAAATCTGCTAGGCCCAAATTATTTAAAATCATAAAGAAGTCTATGGACTTCCTAGCATGTGTTGATCTGATTGTCAGGAGGACTTATGAAGAAAGATGGTTTAATAATTTTCTTTCTTTCTTTTTTTTTTTTTTTGATGGTTGGTGGTTGCAGGATAGTTTGTTAGTCTTTAAGACTGCCTTGGTTGTACTAATTAAGATTTTTACGTTTTATATCTGGATTTAGGATTAGCTTTTAATATTCCTCAAGCATGTAAGTCAAATCACAATGCCATTTCTTCATGTTAGCCTACAAAACTTAATTTATTTTTGCAAAACACAGTTTACGCTGCTGCAACTGTATTCTGCTGCCAATTGCTGTTCCAATAGCACTCTAGATCTCTTTTTTCTTTCGATTCGACATCATGAATTGTGTTCTCTCTGCAATTGTGTTCTGTTGCCAACCGCTGTTTCTCTAGCACCCTGGATCTCTTTTCTCTTTCTATTATATATGATGAATTTTGTTATGTAATGCAGAGAGCAAAATAGATCAGGCAAACCATAAGACACTAACATTGGTAAGAAACTTTTGGCTGATCAACGCATACATTTCTCCATTACTGCATGAACCAATGATGTTAGGAGGTTAACGAATTTATCGTATTACAACATTTCCTTTTAACAGTTCAACTAATTTTATTTTTGTTTCTTATTAACTCTGCAAACGATTTATTATCATTTCATTGATGAAAAGTTTACGTGGGAATGCTGTAACTGATCTCAGGATGACAAAGAGAAACTCGAGAAGCAATTGCATGATATGGCAGTAGCTGTTGAGAGATTGGAAAGCAGCAGACAGAAACTTCTAATGGAGGTACATGTGTTCAATTTGGCTCATTTAAAGTCATGAACTGCAAAAGTTTGACCCTCAGTTTCTATTTACAGATTGACTCCCAGTCTTCAGAAATAGAGAGACTATTTGAGGAAAACTCGAGCCTCTCATCTGCTTACCATGAATCGACGGGATTGGTGGCACACTGGGAGAATCAGGTCCCTAATTTTGATGCTTGTAGTATTGATATAATTCTTCGCCTAGTAATCAGTCTAAAATATTCTGTATGTTCGTTTGTCTTCAAGTCCTCAACAACTCTATCATATCAAAACATTTCAATCACTAGACTGGTTTTGAAAAACATTGTTTGTAGCATATTAGTTTTGTAAGCCTCATGACTTAAGCGTCACATTTTGTGTAGCAATACGTAGTCGGTGAAAGTTCATAATAGAAATTGATGATGCGTTTAAAGAGCACCAACTGACACAACACTTTCAGTTTCCATTTCCCTATTATCCTCCAAAATAGTTTGTGAAAGTGTATAGTTTGCTTATTATTAAGTGATTCGTGCAGGTGAAAGTTTGTCTACAGCAAAACGAGGAACTTCGTAACATGCTAGATAAGTTGCGGATGGAAAAGGCCAGCGTAGCAGGTATAAATGATAAAGCTTCGCAAGCATTGTTGGATTCCGGCAGAGTAGATAATTTGATTGAGCCTCAATATGCCGCTGAATTTTATTCCATTAAGGTCAGCTACTATCAATACATTAACAGTCCATTGCTTGTTTAGTATATCTTCTCTCTCTAATTTCAGAAAGAAGAGGGTCCCATTTACGCTTGCATAAATCAGTTTTTGCTGACAAAATGCAGAGTGTATTATTTTGAATTGTGTGATGATTAAGCAATCATTGACAATTTGGTATAACATGTGAATCGTTTCTTATTTTAACTTCGTATAGAGTGAGCTAGCTAAAGAACAAAGCAGAGCAGAATCTCTATCTGCAGAGGTGTTGCAGCTCTCGGCACGCCTTCAGCGAGCAACCCAAGCTTATAATGGTCTTGCACGCCTGTATGCATTCTCTCTCTCTCTTCTCTAATGCTTTTTATTTTATTTTAATTAGCTTATGTCACGCTAATGTAACTGGTATTTTGCCGCAGCTATAAACCGGTGTTACGGAACATTGAGAACGGTCTTATGAAGATGAAGCAAGATGGTTCATTATCTGTGCAGTGATAACTAATGATAGAGAACTAAATTATCCTCTTTAATTGATTTAAGTTGTACAAGTACAAGTATATGGATCATGTGTGTGCTTTCATTGACGATGAATCCTTTCGTTTATTTAGATTAAGAGCTGTGATTGGTTTAGCTCTTCTAGGGTGTATACTGACCACTGATGGTGTATCTTATATCACATTGCTTACAGTCATTCTTTGTACTTTCAAGTAAAAAGTTTATATGTATGTTGCATGCTGCCAAGTTATGATGAGTGTGGTATGTATTTTTTTTATTTTTAAATGTTACGAAGAGAGAAGCTTCAGCATTACGTGCCCGATTACGTCTCCTATCGAAAGACCAAGTTCCATGTGCCTGATTACGACGGATGGAACTCTCTTCAACCTTCAAAAATCCAACACCATATTATCAATTCATGATTACTACAAATTATATTTTTATTAAAGCAAAAATAATGCAAGTTCCTTAAAAACGGTCTCCTTATATAACAAGGATGATTAAAACACTAATTGAAATAGCAAAATTAAAAGAAATAACTCATAAGCCTACTAGTAAAAAAAATAACAACAAAGCAAGAAAAAGTGTACTTAGTTGGTGGCGGCCCGAGCTTCCGATATACGGTGCTTATAGTAAGCATGGTAAGGATCATCGGAATGTAAAAAGCTAAAATTTTGTGTCCCTTGACAGCTTGAAATAATCCTTTGCTCGAACTCTGGTCCATTCTTCACCACGTACCGAGCGGTTTTGTCTACAATCATTCTTATGTCTGGAGGAGGCAATATTGGCAAAGCACCCTCCATCTTAGTTTAGAAAAAGAGAAAAGAAAGAAGAAAAAAATTCTTCTTCTTGTTTCACGTGAGAGGGGAGCGTGTGATTGTGGGATGGAGAATTGTTTGTTATTGTCCCAGTACTTTTCTCTACTCCACCACTTCTATTTATAAAGAATTTTATAAATCCTAGTCCAAATCTAATTTTAATTACCAATTAAAATCAAATATATCAAGGAATGGGATCTCATCTAATTATAAAGATTTTTATAAATCCTAGTCCAAATCTAATTTTAATTACCAATTAAAATCAAATATATCAAGGAATGAGATCTCATCTAATTAAGAATCTTTTTGAATTATTTCTTAGATTCCTATTGTCTATCAACTGGTTATTCCGAAAATTATATCAATTATATTTTCATGACGATGATAGTTTTCTCGTCAATTCAAGTACCATATTGCATATCTTAAATTTTCATTTTTGAAAACCTCTATTTACGTGGTACCTGCTAAATTAGGAAAATTCCAATGTAGAAAGTTCACTTGAAATCTATCAAATTGCGTTTCTATTTTTCTTCTAATTTTACCACAATGTAGATATAATGTCTATATTTTATTTATTTAGTTTTGTGATTTAGATATTTTAAGTTAATGGTTCACATATTGATCAATAATTAGCACATGATTTTTTAAAGGTTAATGATAAAGAGGCCCAGGACACTTAATTAAAAAAAAGGGTTAAATACAAAAACACCCCTGTACTATGAACTTTGTATCATATACCCCCATGTACTACACATAAATACAAAAACCTCCCTCACATTACATTTTTTTCCAAAATATGACGAAAATACCCCTACTCAAGCATATATATATATATATATATATAGAGTCATTTTTCACTATATATTTTACCTTTTCAGTGAATTTTACGTGGGAAATTTTGGTATTTATATTTTTTTCTCCAAAATATTTAATTGCTTATACTTTTTTAATTTTCTGAATAAAACCTTTTATTTTTGTCATTTTGAGTTTCTTCATTTATTTTTTCTTAAATGTTTTCCGGTAGTTCAAACATCCCAAGATTACAAACTTCTTTACAATCCTATTATTGTTAGAATTACTTGAACTACCGGAACACATTTAAGAAAAAAATGAAGAAATTCAAATCGACAAAAATAAAAGGTTTTATTCAGAAAAAAAAAAAAATCTAAGTAATTAAATGTTTTGAAAAAAAATATCAAAATTTACCAAGTAAATTGGCCGAAAATGTTAAAATATATATTGGAAAATGGCTCAAATAAACCCTTATATTTATAGGCTTAACAGGGGTATTTTCGTCATATTTTGGAAAAAAATATAACAGTAGGGGGGTTTTTGTATTTATGGATAGTACAGGGGGTATATGATACAAAGTCCATAGTACAGGGGTGTTTTTGTATTTAACCCTTAAAAAAAAGGACATCCAACTTTTTAGTTTTTCAAATAATTTCAGCTCATTCAAACTTATTTGCAAATAAGGAAAACATTTTATATATACCAAAATTATCACCAATTCTTTCAAACCCAATTCAACTCCAATTTCATGATTTACACCCAAATTTAGCCCAATTTCACCAATTAATCAATTTTGACCTGCCACCACCGAAGACCGCCGGTCTCCGGCATTGAATTTTTTTTTTTTTTTTTAAATTTTTTTTTCCTAAAAAAATTTATTTTAATTAATATCACTGTATTGACTGCTAAATTAATATCTCCAACAGTAATTTAACTGTCGTAAACAGTAATTTAACTATCTGAGATAGTAGTATTAATTAATTTTATCGTCTTGGTCTACAGTTTTTGCTTTCTTCGACCGTAATATTACTGTCTTTGACCGTAATATTACTGTCTCATGCAATAATATTACTTTCTGGGACAGTAATATTAGTAATATTACTTTTCGGGAAAGTAATATTCATAATATTAGTGTTTGGGACAGTAATATTAATAATATTACTGTTTTGGTATTTAATATTACTGTTAAAATCAATTAACAGTTAAATTACTGTCTCCGACAGTTAAATTACTGTTCGACAGCCATGAAAGTAATATTATTAAAATAATTTTAAGAAAAGAAATAAAAAAAAATAAAAAGTCAATGCCGGAGAACCACCCGGTCAAAGGCGGAATCTGGCCGGAAAAATTAAATTCAGAAAAAAAATATTTTTGAATTTTTTTTCTCAAAAAATTATTAAAATGATGATTAATGTGATATATTTGTTTAAATCCGTGATAAGTGTGTAATATTGAGAAAGTTAGAGTATATAATTGATAAAATTTATAAAGATTATATTGTGGAGGGTATTTTATACATAAGACGTGGGAATGAGTTTATTTACAAAATTATTTTTTTTTCTCAAAACCAATGTGCATGAACTCTTTTGTCACGTCCCTTATTGTCATTTGACGAATTTTTAATTTCACATTCAAAATTTATTAATTTATGGTATATGATTTTTGTAAGGATTTCATCAATTAAATAAAAAAATGTATTTATTGATTAATATGATAGGAGTCATGGACGGTGCATGTGTCACTTTTAAACGTTTAATCAGCCAATCAAAGAATAAATTGTTAGCAATTACTTTAAAAAAAAAAAAAGAATAAATTGTTAAATAATTTATAGAGGTCTAACTGTATATATTTCCTTTTGTATTGTTAAATCAAAAAAAATAGTAAAACAAATATTATAAAAAAAATAAAAACAAGAATAAAGATACGATATATACTATTTGTCTTTCGCGAAAAATTGTTTATGTTCACGTATTACTGGTGGAATAGTGTTTGCAACAATTCTCCTTTCTTTCCCACCTGAGTTCCCAGCCTTTTGTTTCATTTGCATTATTGCAACATATTTAATTTTTTTGTCTAGGGTCCGAGAGGGGTTGTACTCTTCGGATCAAAACGATTGAACATTAACCAATAAAATGTGCCACGTATGATTAGTAAGAACCCCATAAAAAAAGTACGACACATGGGGTATAATAAAATTACATAAATACCCTTAAAATTAAAACTTAATTAAATATTAACTAGATCTGATTACAACAATAGTATCATAATAAAAAGTAATTTAATTATCATAATAATTGCCTATATTAAATTGTTATTGAAGAAATAAGAATTCTACGTCTCTTCTATCATCTTCTTCAGTTCTGTAAACCCTAACCACGAATATTTTTTTCTTATTCATCATCGATGGATAACTCCTACAGGCAACAACTATTTCTTCATAATTTCGTGTCTTTTACGATGCCGTCATTTCTGGGGTTTATTTTTTCATGCCGCTGAAATCGTAGGTACGAGGTTTCCGTTGATGGAACAATGGATAATTCTAGTCGCTATTTGGCTTCTGTGTTCCATGGAGGTTTTCCATTTATTACGCGTTAGACCATCCGTAATCTTAATTTTATAAAAAAAATCATGTAAACTCTATAACAGTATGAAAAATTTAAGATCGTCGCGTAAGAGAGCTGTGTATCACGTTTGTATAACTACATCATGAAAATTATTGACTGCATCCAACACCATCCAACTGACAAGCTTGGGAGCCAATCCATCCGACAACATTTGAGTTAGAAGTAAATAAACGAAATAGCTATGAAGAATAAGGCGTTGTTTGTTGATGCATAAATTTTACCTCTTGTAGAAATACAATTATTGGACGAATAGTTTGCTAAAGAACGAACATAGAATTAGTGTTTTATTAAAGACCGAACAGGTTTTCATTCTGTGGCGATGCAGCACAGAAAATCATACCTCAAAAAATTGAACAAAAAAAGAAACAAAATCTGAAGCTGAAACATAAAAAAATAAACAAAAAATACATGGAAGATAAAAAGCCTATCCCTGTTAATAATGCACACTGAAGGGTAGATAGATCCCCAAAATATCCGATAAGGCACACGAATTTCACCTCGTAAGAGAGTAAAAAGTTCCTTGTGTAGAGAGAGCCAATCAAAAGTGTGCCAAACTGTATACTAGAATCCAAGCAAGCTGAAACGCAACAAAGTTATAATTAGTTTGACAATTACACACACACACACACACACACACACACACACACACACATTGGTAATCTATCGTATACGTAAAAATGCAAAACGTACCAGAAAGAGGGAAATTGAAGCGAAGACCCCCTCTTGAAGAAGTGCCCAGTGACCTCCAAACTCTTCTTCATCAACTTTTAGTACAAGAGCGTAATATGCATAGATAATCCCACTCGATAACACCAAAAACCTGAATTTCAAAAAAAAAATATCCAGTTTAGACTTCATGCCAATATATTCAGTGGCCATAGCCTGGACCGATAACATTAACAAGCAAGATCTTTTGGAAAAGCATTCAAGTGCAAGCAACGAGATAAAAAAAAAACCAGGAGGAAAACTTTAAAAGAGAAATTTAGTCGTATTTGTTTAAAATATGTCGAGTTTTTCTTTTTTTTTTTTTGTTTGTAAAAGAGGAAAGTTTCGTTCAAACCAATCATCATTATATGCTTTCATTTAACTTACTCTGCATTAAACGATTCATGTGATTTCCCTTATGTGATACCACTCAAAAATTAAAATGGCTCCACTAACGTATGATGGATGCTATGCAAGTATATTGTCACGTAGAGAATGTGATGTCAATGCTCAAGAGTCATTACTGCTAGCTTATTGCCTTCCACAAATTAATGGTATATTTGACTAGTGCAACGCAAATTGATTCTTAGATGTTAGTTGAAATTAAAGTCACTACATATTACCAGGTACTACAAAAGACTAGCAGCAAATTTTACCGATGAAAGACAATTAGAAGAATTAAAGAATTGCGATAAATGCATAATCGATGACTGGTAACACAAAATTGTAAATAATGCTGCTCTGAAATTACTACCAGCGACAAACATTAAACCATGTCAAGATTATCTAGTGTATAGTTAGTTACTCCATTGCCCCTATTGTGAAGATATCACAATCCCACATAGTCAGCTACGATTCGACCATTTCTGCCTAGCATCAATAACATGTATCTATTTCATATTTCATTTTTTTTTTTGTTTCTCTTTTGCTGCATTTTGTTAATTGGGCTATATCTATATAAATGTGCGCGTGTGTTCACATGATTCTACATGCATCACAAACAAATGAATATGTTCTAAGCACATGCAGCTCTCCTCTTACTTCTAGCCTAGGTCAGATAAGGCAAGTGTGAAGGCCACTATAGCAATTTACAAAAAAAATGAAAATTTTGAAAAATGAGACTGTTCACAAAAAGTAATTAAAAATAAATGCATATTGACCTATACTTCTCAGTTTATAGACATAAGAATAAATGAACCAACTATAGACCGTGCAAAACACCAACTTCCACTAATGCCATAGGATCGAATCCTAATGTTTTCTTTCATTTATTGCGAAAATGAAAACAGAAAAAGGGGGTAAACGTAAATCCCAAAACAATGACCAGCTCACAAAGGGCCCGAGTACCATCTTGGCCTCAGATATAAATTGCTATGTATGACAGTCAGACAATTTAATTTTGTGTGCATGTCAAGATTCAAGACACTTACGAGAATATTAAACACATGAAATTCCAAAAAATGCTATACAAACATGAATGCACATAACTGATTGGATTGTTTAGCCCCATAATAATAATTAATATAAGCATATACCCAACTATATCTCTTAAGAATCTATGGTTGAAATAATATTATGATGCTATGCTATGGCATCGACACTTTTCCTCTAGAGCAGTTTTTGTGTGGCCTAAAGTACAACAAATTAACCAGAAACACCGATTTTCAAATAGAAAACAAGATAGAAAAGAAAAACGGTAACTTACAGGAGAAACCAGACGCCTCCAACTAACGGAATTGCACCCCATAGTAGTCCACACAGAAGCGCTAATCCTTGTCTAATCCAATGTAGTACATCACCAAGCTGATCCTGAAACAGATATATATAATAACACTCGTATCAAGTCAATTACATTGTACAGTCCAAGTAAACGAAGATCCAGTAAACCTTTCAAATTGAATATGTCCCACTACTATTACAAGGAACCTCGTATTATCAAGATTTTCCCTGAATAAAAAACTAAACGCTAGAGAGACAAGTGAATCGGTTAAGGACCCTTGTATAATTAAGGTTTATGCAAGGACCTGATGTGATAAACACTTCGTTTCTTTCACTTCAATCAATATATACTAGAGGTTCTCTTACTAGACATCCATGCATGACAAAAAAGAAAAACAAGCTGAGTTTTCACATCACATGTCAAATTAGGTGACTTATGTGCTTACTTTCTATTGGCTGCCTCCAAATCCAGAAAAGCTAAACTCAAATACTTAGGAAATAAAATAAATAAAAAAACGATAACATAGGAGGTTCCTTTTTCGCTCCAGCACCACAAGTAATAGAAACGAAAATACGTCGTATTTTTGTTTTTCAGTAACAGTCACTGGATTGGCAACACTTCTGCATACAGTCGCATAAGATCTATCAAAAGTTGTATCCTTGAAATTACAAATCAGTTTCCCTTTACGAAATACATTACAGCATGTTTTTTTAGTATATTTGTTACTTTAAGTATTAGATTGTTAATCGGCTTCTTTATCTGCAACTCTCCCTGATTTGGTATGCTTGTTAATTTCTGCATAAAAATAACCCATTGATTCCACCAAAAACCTTTCCTAAGTTTATATCTATGCATACTGTAATGAATAATATAGATATTTATAACGGATATTCAATAACAAGAATGCACAACCACATAAACGAAGTGCGCCCAAATTACTGGATCTTTCAAAACCCTCGCAATACAATTCAATGTTAATTAATTTTCAATAAGTTTTCCAAGTCAATAAATACAAAATCATATATCATCACCAATTCTAACTTTAACTCTTAACTCCAAATAAAAATCCCCATTCCAATGTATTTTCAAGGTGATACTTAACCCCCAAACCGATAGAATTACAAATTAAATATACCAAATTAAATAAACACAGCGGTTGTCAATCTGAAAGCTGAAGAACTAAATTTCAAAACTGAGTAAACAGAAGATACAAAAGAAAAAAACAGTTGCGCAACTCAGAAATAAAAATTAATTGAAAAAAGAAAAAGGGAAAAAAGCTGAAACCTTGTCCCAAGAAGCATCAGGATCTAACAGTTTCGCCAATTTAAATGGAGATAAATGTCCATTCTGATGCTGCTGCTGTTGTTGTTGAATATTCAATTTTGCAGATTTCCTTTCTCTCATCTAAAATTAATAAATAAATTGATGAAGAAATCAACGAAAGCAATAGAGAAAAACAAAATTCGTGCAAAAACCCAAATACTCACTGTGTAATTTAGGGCTGGGTATCGGAACAATGAAGAACACAGAGGTTTGAATCAGATTTGGGAAGGAGATTAAGTAGTGAAGCAATCTGATTTAGAGAGAGAGTAGAGAGAGAGAGAGAGAGAGTAGTATTAAGAAGATTGGGAATAAAAGAAAAGAGATAAAAAAGAATTTGCACGTGATGTGGCCGGCGTTAAACCAGCTAGAGCTGTAATGGAGAAGTATGGTTGGGCTACACTTCTTTTTCAATTAGTGTTTATTTAGGAGGTGACGTTATATTAATAATAATTATGTATATAATTGTAATTATTTTTTATGTAGGATTCTATTTCATTAAAATCAATTTATTTATTTATTATTATGAATCTATGATCATAGGTGCAATTACAACAAATTAATGCCACTTTCGTTTTCAATTCTCTTTTCCTACTCTTGTCCCTATTTCAATTTATATTTACTAATATTTTCTTACACTCAGCTCCTTATTCTCTATCGAACCACTCCGCTAAGCTCGCTAGAGAATATCGGGGAGTAGAGATGATGGAATCAGAGTAGAGATGATGGAATCAGTCCAGCACTATTGGGCCGAACTCCTCATCTCCAAAATTGTTGGACCGAACTCCTCATCTCCAAAATTGTTGGACCGAAATTCTGAATAGTGGACTGAAAATCAATAAGTAAGGAAGACTGGTACCAAGATGAAAATGGGTCATAGAAAGCGAGTTGGATCCAAGCAGGGTCGTTCCTGAGAAATTGGGGGCCCTAAGCGAATTTTAAGAATTTGTAAAAATTATCCTTGATTAGTACTGTATAATGCATGTACATTAATTTATTCTAACGAGAACAAGTGGACAAGAATTCTTTTATTAGCAGTTAAGAATTTTTGAGAAAATACAACTAAAATATCGACAAAGTTAATGTAAATCAAAAGTTACGGGGTTCAGGGCAAAGTCTCGAAGTTTTTTTTTTTTAAATAGTCATATAAATTTTATTGGACAAGTAAATATATGTAACATTTGTTTAAATATAATAAAATAAAATATAGTATATTTTAACTTGCCGAATTTTTTTGAAGTTAAAGATAGACAATGTAAATTATTAAAAAAATTCAAAGATTACTAGGAAAAAAAATTAAAATCTTGAAATAGATAAAAATTTGACATGATAACTCAATATCTAACTAGTTATAATTGATCCAGACATTTAATTCACATCAAATGTAAGAATAAATGTAAAAAATTCCAACAAATACTTAAACTAGTAACATAATATAAGTTATAATTATTCAAATTTATTGAACTATTTGTATATTTTAAATAATAT